ACATACAACATTTATTCAATTCTTTGTGCGGTTTTATGCGTGGCAATGAGAACTGTTTTGTTTGTTTAATAATTTAGAGCAGTTTTAATCTACTTTTGATATTTAGAATTTAGCTATCGTAATACATTTATGAATGCATAGTTGGTATACATAATATATATACATATATATATATATATATATATATATATATATATATATATATATATATATATATATATATATATATATATATATAAGGCCGGCGCGATAGGGGGTGTGGGGGGTGTCACATCCCTCTCCCCATCAATGATTTTTAGTCGGCAAACTGGACCTATAGTCGGCAAATTGGACCCTTAGTCAGCAAATTGGACCGTTTTAGACTAGTTAGTCGGCAAATGTCGACCCTTTCGATATAGGTTAGATGATCGGTATATGTCGTCACGACAGTCGGAAACGAGGACTTTTTTTTTTTTTTTTTTTAAGTCGGCAAAAGTTGTATTAATACCCCCCCACCCACGTGACACCTACTCGCGCCGGCCCTGTATATATATATATATATATATATATATATATATATATATATATATATATATATATATATATATATATATATATATATATATATATATACTAATATGTATATTCAAGGCCGCCGAGAGCTTTTATGGCGCCCGGAGCATAGCGTTGTGTAAGTGTGCATGATTTAATTAAAAAAGAATTTAAGCATGCATGATTTAATTAAAAAAGAACTTAATCAAATGCAGTCATGCATATATATGATTGCTCACGGTTTTAAAATGAATTTTCTTAATAGGATACGTTTGGCTTTCGTCACGCATATTTAATAAATTAAAACAAAGGATTCTGCGGACAAACAACTCAAAAATGTATAACAACAACAATATTCAAATTATTTAGTTTTTAATACAAACTCTCAATAGCTCTTTAAATTCTTGTTTAGTGTTTGTGAATTTTTAAGAGCTAGTTACAATGAAAGTTTTCATTTTGATCAGTTAGTTTAAATTTGACGTTTTAAAGCCTGATTACTCCAAGTCTTTATTTTTACAAGTAAATAGTCTTCTCTGGCAATAAATGAAATTTAATAAAGGAATGAGTTTAATGAATCTTAATACCATCAGGGTAGGTATATTTTCCAAAAGTTAACCATTTACCACTCCTTCTTATTAAGCACCTGAGAGTAAACGCTTAAACAAAACGAATTTGAAAAGGTCACAAAAATATTACCCAGTTCTCTAAAGATAAAATAAAAGTATTGAAAATATATTTAGTTAATAAGTATAAAAATTTCTTTTTAAAAAGTTGCGACCAAATAAAATAAGTATATACTTACAAAAATGTTTATAAATAAATTTTAATCCATACTTTTTAAGAAAGCTAAAATTTTAACTCTAAAAAATTTGTTCAAAATGGTTTTTAATCTTTTAAAATTTATTTAAAATATATTTTTTTTGCATTAGTAATAGTATAAGAATTACACAAAGAAATCTTTAAATAAACATAGAAAAAAAAGCGAACAAATTAAAATGAGCAACAAAACTAACAAAATAAATGAAAAGTTAAATTTGTTAAAACAAAATTTAAATTTTACAAAGATATTTAAGCACACAAGCATTGTTAAAAGTTTAGCTTTTTTAAATTACTTCATAATTGGTCAAAAATCAACTTTTCAACAATGCTTGTAACATAAAATAATTAAGATGCTAGTGCCAATAAATAAAGCATTACTCTATCAAATAATCCAAACTTTTGATTGAATTATTTATTTTAATTTAAATCTAAATAAATATGTTCATTGAATCGTTCAAAATAAACTCATGCTTTTACAATACTTTTTGATTGCACAGCCTTTTCTTTTGTAAACTTTTCACGCACTTAAAAATAGTGCGATATTATTAGTTGCTTGTTTCTGTAAAAGCAAGTCTTGAATTATAATTTCTTTTATAGACAAGAAAACAATCTTGAAAATAAAGCAACACTGCTAATAATACACTGATATAAAATTTGATACATGCTTTTGCTTTTTTAAAGATAACTATTAAGACTTTGTTCTAACCATCACACTCTTTGAGCTGAATATGAAAGTTGATAATTTGCTGGTCCAAGAATGTCATAAAAGTAGAAATCTGAGATTCATTATATAGATAAAATCACATTTTTTATGTTCATATCATAAAGAACTAAATCATAAAGAAAATCAACAATAAAATCTTGGCTATTTCCAGTATTAAAATCAACAATGCTGCATTCTGTATTCAATATTTTATATTTATAGCAGAACTAATAAAGAGATTACAAATTTCTTTGTTATGTTTATACATATTACTTGCATATATGTTAATATTATTTTCATTATTTTTGACAAGAAATCTACAAGATGTAACTTTTAGTTTAAATATATAATTTCGAAAGCTTTATTTTTTTTTATCCTTTTTTTCAAGTTTGTCATCGAATCTTTAGTAATTCCTACTTTTTCAAATATATATATATGTTGTATATA